AAAATGAAGCTAATAGCTAATAATTGAATTTCCTATCATATATTAATCAATTGTTATTTAGAAAATATGATTTTTGAGTTATGGAATCCTATATTTTGATACCAAACCATTATGATTAATAAAAGGATGATTTCTTGGAATAAAGATGGTATTTTAACAACTAAAAGGGATCTTATGTGATGCATGACGGTAAGCTAGGGTGTTAACACTCGATGCTAGGCCGCTGATTGTTATTAGTTATTATGATGATTGATTGATTGTTCATTTTTATGAATATTATGGATTAATGATGATGAATATTCTGGATGAAATGATTGTTGAACTAAGAGTATGAATTGATGAATAATGTTGTTAAGGATATCTAGAAGAACTTTAAGATATACCTATTAGCTAATTAATGTTAAGACTATCTAGAAGACCTCTAGAATAGATCTTAGAATGAACTTATGAAAACATGAATAGTTGATGAATTAGATATAAATTCATAAACGGGATTCGTAGACCAAACTAGAGGATTACTCGTTGGGAATGCCCGATCCATTGTTGACCAATCGCTATATTGTTGTTGACTTAACTGACTACAGTTAAGTGTCCGAAATCATTTGCCTTAAACTAATGATAGTTTAAGTGTCTGATTGCCTTAACTGACTACAGTTAAGTGTCCGAAATCAATTGCCTTAAACTAATGATAGTTTAAGTGTCTGATTAATAATTGCCTTTTAAGAATGTGATTATGGAAATTATGATTTGGCCTTAGACTAAGAATCGCTAAGAGCATTATTATGATCTGGCCTTAGACTAAGAATAGCTAAGAGCGTTGTTATGATCTGGCCTTAGATTAAGAATAATTTAAGAGCACTATTGAAATAGTATCTGAATTAAATAAAATGTGTTGATATGAACTGAACAATACCAAAACTGTGAATGTCTTAAATGAACATTGTGTGCATGATATCAAATGATTTGATTATGAATTTAGATTCAGTTTATATGGATGTTCGACGCATTAGATATGCTTACTCAGCTTTACCGTTGAGCGTGTAGTGTGTTTTATTTGCTACACGCAGGTACAACAGAAAGAACACTGTGATCCTGGCAGCAGATGGGGCGAGATTGTCGGGATGGATGTGACAAGTTTGAAATGATTTATGATATGTCAAAATTAAATTCGCTTCCTCAATATTGTTGAATACTCCGTACTGTATATGTTATGAAAAATTATTGGGATTAATAAAGTGTGTTTGAAAAGTTTTAAATTTTTACGATTACCAAGTTAATACTTTAGTCCGGAAGGGGCTGCAGACCTGGACGGATTAGGGTGTTATATAAGCTTAGGCTTCTAATTGAGCTTATGAAAGGAACAAGGAGAGGACTCCTCGCGCGCCGCCGCCGCCCGTCCAGCTCGGCACGCGCGCGCGTCGCGGCAGGGCGTGGCATGGCGAGGCGAGGCGCGCGCGCCGCGCCTGCGGCAGCTTCACTTTCCTAACTTTTAGTTCGAGAAAGTGCTCTGGCGACATCCCACTCTTACGTCTGTCGTCTCTGTGTTCCAATTAAAGCACCTGTCCGTTTGAGCTTCCGAAGACTCCAATTTTCTTTTCTTTATTTCCGTTGTAAAATCCGATCGTTTTATAAGTTCGGATTATCGTATTTTATTTTATTCCCGCTATAATACTCAACAATCTTAAGGTAGTAATGATGGAGTTCGGATTCGTCATCGTGGGTTCCTCCAGCAACGGGATGAGTTCCGAAATTCCGGTTGAAACCTCTTCGGTTTCCATGGTTGTGCCGTCCTCAGCGCTGCCCTTCGTGTCGAGTGTGGGGGTCGCAACCATGACGTCATTCTCGATGCCAAGCTCGATCTTCGGGTCAGCCCCTCGACCCATTCCCCGGATCGAAACCATGGGGGATTACCCCGTTGGTAATTCGAACCCGTTTCTCGGACCAACTATGGCTTCGGCCTCGACGGTCAACTTTGGACCGAACACGGGTTTCACCGCACCGGTCAATCCATTTGTTGGACCTCATTGGATGACCAATGGACCTTTCCTCCATACGCCCAATGCAGTTGGGGCCATTTCAGTGCCCGCTAGTTTGGCCCAGAGGCCACCGAAGTTCAATGGCACGAACTTCAAAATGTGGCAACAAAAGATGACGTTCTTCTTGACCGTCCTCGGATTTGCGGAGTACCTGCAGCAAGATCCTCCCCGGCCCAACGATGCTAACGACCTCCTCGTGGCGATGGTGAACCAAGCATGGTACCACAATAACTATCTCGCCATCAACATTATCCTCGAGGGGTTGGCCGAGATGTTGTACCCCGTCTACGCTGGTGCAAAGCTTGCCAAGGAGCTTTGGAGCAGCTTGAACAAAAAGTATCAAGCTTAAGATGCCGGCACAAAGAAGTTCATCGTCGGAAAGATGCTGGAGTACAAGATGGTCGACAACAAATCTGTTATCACCCAAGCTGAGGAGCTTACAGTAATATTCAACAAATGCAATGAGGAGAAAGTAGGCGTAAGCGAGGCCTTTCAAGTGGTGGCCATCATCCACAAACTTCCACGCTCTTGGAAAGACTTCCAAGCCGATCTCAAGCTCAAAAGAGCGGAGCTGAACCTGGAGCAACTGCTCACGCGGTTGAGAATCCGAGAGGAAGGGCTTGCTAGGAGAGGTGGAGGGGCAAAGGCGAATGTGGTAGAACATCCGTCGGGCTCTTCACATGGCGGGAAGGACAAAAAGAAAATGGGTCCTAAGGGTGGAGTTTCTAAATTTGCAGGAAAGTGCTACAATTGTGGCATTACCGGGCATCGTTCCTCCGATTGTAGGAAAAAGAAGCCACAAGAAAAACAAGAAGAAAACCACTGAAGCCATGTGTGCAGAGCTCGACAACTTGAACCTCTGCGCGGTTGTCACCGAGGTGAATCTTGTCGGGTCAAACACGAGGGAATGGTTTGTGGACACAGGAGCCACACGCCATATTTGCTCAAACAGGAGCATGTTTCACGACTTCCAAGAGACGCTCGGTGACAAGGTCTATATGGGCAACTCGGCCCAATCAAAGGTTCAAGGGGTGGGCAAGATTAAGCTCAAAATGACCTCAGGAAAAGAGTTAATGCTTAACGACGTGCTCTATGCGCCAGATATTCGCAAGAATTTAGTGTCGGGGTCATTGCTGATCAAACACGGCTTTTGGATGTTGTTTGAATCAGACAAGCTAGTTTTGTCCAAGAAACGGATTTTTATAGGAAAAGGTTATATTTCCTATGGGCTTGTAAAGCTTAATGTAATGACTGTTCATGAAGAGATCAATAAAAATCCTATTGCTTATGTGTGTGAGTCGTCTAGTTTATGGCATGGTAGACTAGGACATGTTAATTATGCATCTATTCGGAAATTAATTAACATGGAACACATTCCTAAGTTTAGTATTGACTTAACTCAAAAGTGCGAAACTTGTGTTGAGGCAAAGTCAACTCGGAGTTTGTTTCAAACGATCGAACGAAATACTCAACCTCTAGAGTTGGTTCACACCGACTTGTGTGATTTTCGAACAACCCCTTCAAGAGGGGGTAATAAGTACTTTATTACCTTCGTCGATGATAGCACAAAATATTGCTATATTTATTTACTAAAAAGTAAAGATGAAGCGTTAGACACCTTCGTTCGATATTAGAATGAAGTGGAAAATCAACTCAATCGCAAAATCAAAGCATTGAAAAGTGATAGAGGTGGTGAGTATGATGATCCACTTAATGATTTTTGTGCACAACATGGAATTGTGCATCAAGTAACCCCACCTTATACACCACAGTCTAACGGTGTAGCGGAGTGGAAAAATCGCACTCTGAAAGCCATGATGAATGCGATGCTTCTTAGTTCTAGATTACCCTAGAACATGTGGGGGAGGCTGTTTTATCAAGTAATTATTTAGTAAATAAAATACCTCATAACAAACTTGACAAAACTCAGTATGAACTTTGGCATAATAGGAAACCTTCCTATAAGTATCTCAAAGTGTGGGGGTGTCTTGCGAAAGTACTTGCACCACCACCGAAGAAGATGAAGATTGGTCCAAAAACAATTGATGGAATCTTCATCGGGTACAATAGTACGTCATACCGGTTCTTGGTGTACAAATCAGATAATCCTGAAATTCACAAGAACACAATCATAGAGTCACGGAATGCAACATTTTTCAAGCACATTTTTCCGTGCAAGTTAAGTGACGAAGCTAGTTCGTCCAAACGTTCTCATACTGAGATGATGGATAACGACGATCCAAATCAGTTGAATTCCGGTGACGATGATGAAGTCGAACATGAAACTGAATTGAGACGGAGTAAAAGAATACGAACTGAAAAGACGTTCGGTTCTGACTTCATAACATATCTGATAGAATTTGACAAAGGAACTCTATCATTTCTAATAGAAAATGAACCCGATATTCTAACCTATTTGGTAGAAAAGGAACCACGAACCTATCACGAGGCCGTAACCTAAACTGAGGGAGCTCAGTGGCGAGAAGCCATAAAAAGTGAAGTTGATTCTATTCTTCAGAATCACACGTGGGAATTGGTTGATCTCCCTCCAGGGTGTAAGCCATTAGGTTCTAAATGGGTCTTTCGGAGGAAAATGAAGCCTGACGGATCCATTGATAAGTACAAAGCTAGACTTGTGATCAAGGGGTATGGCCAACGCGAGGGCTATGACTACTTTGATACTTACGCGCCTGTGACTAGGATATATTCTATCAAAACGATCATCGCATTTGCATCCTTACGAAACCTGGATGTTTATCAAATGGATGTGAAGACAGCCTTTCTAAATGGCGAAATAGATGAAGAAATCTATATGGAACAACTCGAGGGGTTTAAGGTTCCGGGCCAAGAAAAGAAGGTCTGCAAACTTGTAAAATCATTATATGGTCTTAAACAAGCGCCAAAACAATGGCATGATAAGTTTGACGAAGTAATGATGAACAATGATTTTAAGATAAATGAGTCGGATAAGTGCGTATACTTTAAGGACACATCTGAAGGGTATGTCATTTTATGTCTGTATGTAGATGACATACTCATCGTTGGAAGCAACGACAGGATGGTTAAGTCCACCAAGGACATGTTGAACGCACGATTCGATATGAAAGATTTGGGTCTGGCTGATGTGATTCTTGGAATCAAAATAATAAGAAGACCGGATGGTTTAAGCTTGAGCCAATCCCATTACATTGACAAAATACTTGAAATATTCAACAAGGATGATACAAAGATAGCTAAGACGCCGATAGACGTAAATGTTCACCTTGGTAAACACTGAGGGAGTAGCGATTCTCAGACAGAATACGCTAGAGTTATCGGAATTCTGATGTATCTGATGAGCTGCACACGACCAGATTTAGCTTGCGCCATTAGCAAACTAAGTAGGTATACTAGCAATCCGAGTGCTGAGCACTGGAAGGCCATAGTCCAAGTGATGAGATACCTTCGGTATACTTGAGATTATAGCCTATGCTATGGCAGGTATCCACCCGTGCTGGAAGGATACACTGATGCCAATTGGATTGCGGATAATAAGGATTCAAGATCAGAAGCGGATTTATCTTTATGTTAGCCGGTGCAGCTGTATCCTGGAAATCCTCAAAATAAACGTTAATTGCTAGATCCACCATGGAGTCTGAATTTATAGCACTAGATAAGTGCGCAGAACATGCCGAGTGGCTTCGGAATTTACTTGAGGATATTCCAAACTGGGAAAAACCAGTTCCTCCTATTTGCATCTATTGTGACTGTCAGTCAGCAATAGGACGAGCTCGGAACAAATTGTATAATGGTAAGTCTAGGCACATTCGCCGTAGACACAAAACCATTAGGCAACTTCTCAATACGGGTATTATCTGGATTGACTATGTCAAGTCAAAGGATAATTTAGCGGATCCATTAACCAAATGGTTAACCAATGAGCAACATGAGAAGTTAGTGGTAGGAATGGGTCTGAAAGCCCTACCCTGTGCTGGGAACGTTTCATGAAGGAAAACCCAACCTGGGTGGTACCTGGGTTCAATGGGACAACTTACTTGTGGAACGAAGCATGGTCACTGTAGGGGCAAGTCGGAACACTGACTTAACACCCCTCCGTTCCTACCGAGATATAGTGACTCCCGGAAATGATGAGGTTAGCATGATGCTTTAATGATTCTTGAACTATGGACAACCAGGTCCAAGTGGAGTAATCGGGATACTCTTAGAAGAATCACCTATGTAAGAGTGAAGTGCGGTCACTTCGACAGAAGGATTTCGGGCTAATCTTGTCTGACACTCTCGCAGAACCATATGCGTGTTCCACGACCATAATGGGCACACCCATGAGAACGGAATGATGGTTGGTTGAAACTTGTGTATTGTATATCGTCGTTTACATAAACGGCAGTACAGTTCAAAGGCATCACGTTCTACTGAACAGCTAGTAGAGAAGGTATACTTTACAAGGAGTAGGTTCAAAGGCTTAAAAACCTACCTACTCTCGCAGGTTTCAACTTCAGATTTATTGCCAGTTACATGAATTAATTTTCATTCATGTGGGGGATTGTTGGAAATTTTTAAATAAATTGGACGTTTTTTAGACATAAATTCGGTAGGGTCCACAAAATTATTTTCGAAAATAATTATGGACGTTTAATCTCGTAAGTAAGACGAATGTCTTGACATATTACACGCCATAAACAGTGCTCGGGTGAATGAGAAATTAATTCTCAAAGTTGAATATGAGGGAAGAGTAAAAATCCTTAACCCACACCGAGTTTTGAACCTTTCATATTCTCATATTTAAGCTTAGGCTTTTAATTGAGCTTATGAAAGGAACAAGAAGAGGACTCCTTGCGCACCGCCGCCGCCGCCGTTCGTCCGGCTCAGGGCGGGGCAGGGCGACGCGCGCGCCCGCGCCTGTGGCGGGGCTAAATTTTTACGAGACCGAATTGAACACGCATGGACACTTCGTGATTAACGAAGTGTCGTCCAAGGGAAACGCATGCATGCCGACCGAAGAGTCACTTGAGACTCCTCGGTATATCCGTCTGGGCTGTCCAGTTAGCCAAGTGTCCTCCTATTTAAGGAGAGGTTGGTCGAGAGAACAAATACACATTCGAAAAATCTCTCTGCCTTACATAAGCTTTCCGACTATCTCCCATTTCCGATCATCTTCTCCAGCGATAACTTCCCGTCATTCTCGTTCGCCGGTGCTTTGTTCTACCGCTCTAGACTTAGCACGCTGCGGTTTTATTCTAGGAGGAGATTGCCCACGTTTGCTAGTGCAGGAGGCGGGCAATACAACCTTAAGGAAAGCTCCGGCGACTCTGCTTTCCTAACTTTTAGTTCGAGAAACTGCTCCGGCGACATCCCACTCTTCCGTCCGTCGTCTCTGTGTTCCAATCAAAGCACCCGTCCGTTCGTGCATCCGTCCGAGCTTCCGAAGACTCCAATTTTCTTTTCTTTATTTCCGTTGTAAAATCCGAACGTTTTATAAGTTCGGATTATCGTATTTTATTTCATTCGCGCTGTAATACTCAACAACACAATCATCATTGCCGCCACACTACCGTCACAAAGAGTTTGAGCGACATGGCTGTGTAAAAATGCATAAAACTTACCTGCTACATTCATGGAAAGAGAATAACCCAACTCCTAAAAGTAAAGAAGTCATAAAATTTATTAAAAAGGTATAATTGGTATGCCTTCACGTTGGAATTCCCATTTAAGTCAAAAAAATAAAGAAGTGATGTTTGTGTAATATTGGGTTTTTTATAGTGCTACCTAGGGGATTTCTTATCTCTTTTTAATTCATCAAACAATTAACGAAAACGTATATACAAATAAGGTAATTGGAAATTTAAAATATAAAAGAGAACAATAATTCATAGAGAGTAAAAGAATATTTTAAATCCAAATTTAATTCAAGCATGGGCGACTCTAGGTTCTTACTTATTTTGGTAAGGGTAACTTTGGAGCTTGGATTTACTTAAGGTCTTGCCCTCTAGCTTTGGTTAATAGGTATGGGCCACCATTAGTCCTATCAATGGATCGAGTTCAGACCACTCCATAGTGTTCTATACATGTGCCCTGAAAAAAAGCTTATCTTGCCTTAAACTAATTTATCCCATGGGTCTTGCAATTGTATACTAGATTTAGACATGTTGGGTTGTCGTATCGGGGTCGAGTACACTTGTGATAAAAGTTGACACTTTATTTATAGATTTGATAATTCATTATTGTTCCATCATTTTATCGAAAGAGTATCTCTAATGGAAATAAATCCATATCAAAGAAAAAAGCAACATCCTTCATCTAACTAATGACTATATGATAATAGTGTCATCTCTTATTTTCAACCATTATTATTTTATCCTCATGCCATCCTGAGTCGTTCTCCGTAGAGATAGACTTGATAAGACTTCCCCTGTCTAAGTCTGGGTCCGAGCGCCCTTCTCTTCAGGTTCAGAATTTGTTGCGTGGCCTTTCTGAGTATGGGTATAAATACTCTTCTGGTTCCGGACACAGGGGTTGAGTGATCCCCGGGCGCCTGATTGGTTCTAGGACCTTAATATCGCCCACATCTATACACTCAAATACATACTATTTACCATTAGAAATAATCTAGATTTAAACTATCTAAAAATACCGTTTTGGTTATGATGGGTCGATACCCAACGGGCGGCCCAAATACTGCGCCCGAATGGCACTAGGTCACTAGAGCGGATGTGCATCAGTTCTGGACTGGCGCAAGAGGTTAGGCCTCGACTAATCCAACAAGGAGATAGCTAGAAGAGCCCGAATCAGAGAAGAAACTCAGCTGGGAATGAAGATATAGCCGGGAAAAGGGGGTCAAGCCACTGGCGGGTGAGTCTCCACTAATTGTGAACTACCTTAATTACTTGAAAATCTTGTATAAATAGAGAGGACCCAAATGGGGATCCTCAAGCTGAATCAAGCTAATAAAGACCATGTGTATGTATGTGTGTCTATATATATATATATATATATATATATATATATATATATATATATATATATATATATGTATATATGTATATATATGTGTGTGTATATATATATATATATATATATATATATATATATATATATATATATATATATATATATATATATATATATATATATATGGATTGACTTCAGTGAGATGACATGCTTCGGTCAGATGACACAAAGCTCACCACTGGCCACTGCAAAGCTCACCAAAGACAACTACAAAGCTCACCAAACTGTAAGGCAAAGCTCACCATATGTTTTCAACACTTTAACTGTTGACCGCTAGCATTGACCGCCGCCTGCCGCCGCTGCCGCCGCCGGTCTCTGGCAGCCACTGCCGGTCGCCGGTCGCCACTGCCGCCGATCATCGCCGGTCTCCGCCGCCAGATTCCGGCCGCCGCTGCTGCCTAGCTGCAGTTGACCGGTGTTGTTATTTTATTTTTAATTAATTTTTAAATTTTTAAAATTTAAAAATAGGTGAGTTTTGGGTTCAAAGTGGTGAGCTTTGCTTTATTTCCAGGTGAGCTTTTTATAGTAGTGTGGTGAGCTTTGCGTCATCTGACCGAAGCATGTCATCTCACCGTAAGGTGTCATCTCCTGGAGTCAATCCTATATATATATATATATATATATAGACACACACACACACACACACACACATATATATATGTATGTATGTATGTATATATATATATATATATATATATATATATATATAGACACACACACACACACATACATATTGTATTTTTTATTAAAAATTTAAAAACTTAAATTTTGAAATATCTATTACGACATTTATTTATAATATTATAATTTTGTTATGTGTATTACTATATATAATATAATATTAGTTGTTGTTTAAATAAATAGTCTATGTAATTCAACTTAGAGCTAAGATCCATTTTTTGGTTTTGTTCATCAGGGCTACCGAATAATGGGACCGACCCTAATATATCTTGATGTCCTTAGTCTTTTTCAAAGAGAGAAAGAAAAAAGGTTGAAAATTTATCTTGAGCCATACGATAAAGTGGAAAATTTTGCAGGGGTATATAGTTTTGTTCTCTATCGTTTAAAAAACACCGGTTGGAGCTTAAAATTTTTTTTTACTTTGGAATGGGAACCCATATCACCCCACTCCTATCTCCATTATTCTTTGTTTTCTAAAAATGGTTATATAAGTGGTTGTTGTAGCCGTGACGAAGTCTAAAAGATAGCCACCCACAGACAACTCCTCTTTTCTACTCCTTTCAATGTCATGCCCAGCCTTTAACTCTTTTTTAATGTATTGGCTCGATTGATTTCTGGGTTTTTTTTCTTTGTTTTTTTGAAGACATTGATTTGTGGGTTAAGAACTGGATTGCCTTTTACATTGTATTTAGAACTGAAAGTGATGTGGGCAACTTCCATGATTGATGATCGACTTGACAGATGATCGATTTCAAAGTACCCAAAATGTTACCTGTACTTTCTATTTTTCTTTTCAATAATATTGATAAAACGGGTAAAGACTAAAATAAAAATAAAACATTGAAAATAGATCAAAATATGACTTTCATATTTTTTTCTTGTAAATAATGTTAAAATGCATGTACAATGTCATTCATTACTTTATACATTGTCAAAAAGTATTGTGAAGTTTTCGTATATAATGTTACATTATCCCATTACAAACTTCTAGTTTGTGATAAAAAACATGAAGTTCCTATTTTTGTATTTTTTCTATATTTTAATCATATTCATGGTATTTTTTTCGATAAAACTTAGGATGACTCTGTTCATTTGAGTTTTAGCTCTTAACTTCCAACATTTTCCAACGCTTTCATTTTTTCTAACTCCTGATTTTCTTCCAACTATTTCTAGTTTTTCGAATTCATTCCAGTTTCTTCCAAATCTTTCTAATTTCTTTCAACTTCTTCCAATAATAATTTAATAAATTATTTAGGGTTTTTTCAATTATTATTATTATGGTCTCAATAAGATAAAAAATTGATTTAATGTCACAAATTATTTAAAAATTACTACCTCCGTCCCACTGTCTTTGTCCACTTTTGACTTTTGGAACTGTTCATCTAAGCACTTTGACTCATCAAATTCTCTCAATGTGTAAGCCTAAATATAGTCATGTGTGATCTTGTTTGATTTGTCTTAACATATAGATTATTAATATATAATTTCTTTAATTTTTTAATATACAAATTACAAGATAAAATGGATTAAATAAGTGCATTGGATGGTGTGCCAAAAGATAAGTGGACAAAGACAGTGTGACGGAGGGAGTATTCCATATATATAAATTTTTGTTACCATTATAGAGTCACGTAAATTATTAAAATATTAGATTCATTAATTTATAAATTCCATTGTGATTTAAAACATTTTGTTAATTACATAGTATGTTTCTTTGAAATGTGTTATTAAAAACTACCTTTGTTGCATTCAAACTCTCTATTTGACATTTTTACTAGATTCGTACCTGTGCGTTGCACGGCCTGAAAATTAATTTTAAAATTTAAGCATTTTTTCATAAAAATATATTTATTGAAATAAAAGATATAACTAGTAACCATTATGGCTAAACCTCTTGCTATTTGAAGTTCAAAATCTAATCAAAGATTAGCCATACATTGTTATGATTTTTATGGTAAAATTTATATGAACTAATGACATATACGGAGTATATAGTTATAGACTTCAAAAGTTATGCCTTTTGGACCAACTTATTTCTTGTAGAAGACAATGTGTAATTCTTGTCACTCAAATACGAATAATAACCCAAATATTTTCAAAAATTATAAGACCACCTTTTTTTGGCAAAATATTTTCCTATTTACTTCGTATATAAAAGAGATAAATTAATAGAGCATGCATTCTTGACTGGTTGTACTCCCAATCTGCAATCATGAAAGGATTCGATTAATATGGTTGGCTAAAAGTGAAAACAAAGATGCATAAACATACCTATTGAAGCTAAGATATAGACACTTAACTAAAAGAGAGAACAAAACTGCATAAATATACCTATTGAAGCCAAGATATAGACAGTTAAATGTGCCGCCTCTTTCCATTAGCTTTCCTTCTTCCAATTTAAAAGATTAGTAGTTGTGCGGCAGTACCTATACAACAGATTATACAAATTAAAATAGTAAAATGTTGGTAGAGTAAGTCTACATAAGAAGATCAAATTCCTAGACAACTCATCGTGAATCTATACATAAACCCAAACAACTTCATCTTTACAAAAAGAATAAAATGACCGCCCTACGCTTTGGATGAGAAAACATTAAAGTTTGGGTAAAAATCTACAAACAAGAAATGAATACTACTCTTGTGTCTGGTGTATACATTTATATGATGACTTCTCTCAAATAAATACATTCAATGTTAATGGTATACTTTTTTGAGTAAATTACTCAAATAGGAGGTAAAGGCAGGCGTTTTCCGTGAATAGGAGTCCTCCTATGCTTCTTAGTTTTCGGCCAAGGGAATAGTCAAAAATACCCTTCCACGAGTCTTTAATTATTTTAATAAAAGAAAGGCCGTTTACGGGGAATCGCGAGAAAAGAGGCGCTGTTTTGGTTTCTGATTGGCCGCTCGAGTTACCATGTAGAACTAGGCTCCTACTGCATGCTGGTCGAGAGTCTTTAGCATAGTACATGTAATTTAATTTTCGTTTGAGGTTGGGTTCAGTATTATCTCCGTGCATCTGTTCGAGACAACGATGACGACCAGAAGCGCAAGTGCGAGGAGGATGTCTAGCAGAGCGGCTGGTGGTGATGATGATGATTTTGTGGACGAAATCCCAATTATAAAGACTACAAAGCTAATGAAGACAACAGCTGGGCGGGTGTGTATTTTCTAAATCATTTCCATTTGGTGTCGGTTTAATTTGTTGAAATAGGGCTAATTTTGGGGAAGGGTTAATGCATGCTAGATGTTTGATTTAATGACTTTGGATGATTTCTTCTTAAATTTGTGGAATTGGTTGATGCATGTAATAACTTTGAATAATGACCGTTAATGTCCGGGTAAATGTCTGAATAATGACTGTGAGTGTTGAGTGTTTCATTTTTGGGGATTAGGTTGGTTCGTGTCAGTTGTTTTGGCAATTACATTGAGTGATGAGTAATTAATGTCTGATTAATTGTCTTGGTATTAGAATGATTAATGACTTTGTGTGTTTGGTGATTAGAATTTGGGAATTGGTTGTTGCATGTGAGGAGGTATTATGTATTTTCCTTGAATAATGACTGATTAATGGTGGATTAGTATCTGATTAAATGACTACTGTGACTGTTTGCTGATTCAATTTTGGGTATAGTTTGATGCATGTGAGGTGTTTGATGTAATGTCCTTGACTGTGTGGTGTGTGCAGGGTTGGTAATTCATTAGTTGAGAGCCTAATATTACATTTTAGATTTGGGTGCTTTTATTAGATAGCAAATTATCAGTAGGTTGGGTAATGTCTGGGTTAAGTGATTGTGGGTAGGCGATTTGATGGTGAAAAGACTTTAGTTTTTTTTTAAATTTTCCATACATATGCTCTGTGATGGAAGTTTTTTTTATTATGTGTGTGGGTACTATGGTCTTTGTTCAAAAGTCATTATTCATAGTAATGATTTGATGTAGTGGACATTAATCTGGTATTAATAAGAGGGTGAATTGTGTGGTTTTTTGTGACTTTATATGCTTTTGTTTTGTGGGTTAATGACCGAACCAGCGAGGTGTTTTAAGGGTGTGTAATTTCTTAGTTGACAACCTAACATAACGTTTCAGTATTGGGTCTTTATAGTATAATGCATATTATAATGACCTTGGCTCTGCGAGGGATGTTTTTTTGTTTTGTTTGTGGTACAGTTGTTTTTTGTGAGGTGTTTTATATTGTGAGGTATTTCTGACTTTATGTTTTGTTATTACGACACAGGTTTACAAAAGGATGTGTGATGAAGAACTATTGGTTGGGAAGACTGGGGTGAAGGTTACATGTTTTTGCAATGTATGGGTTGGGGCAAAAATTGTGGAGGGCGTTGTCAGTGATGCAGATTTGGTAGAATTGAAGGAATCTGCGTTTGGGGACTTTTTCAACCTAGGTGGCATTAAGTGGTTTACTGGGCAGTTGATGATACTATTGGCACTCAATTATGTGGAACCATTAAAGCGGAGCGGATGTGTTGACAGCTTAAAGTTTCACATTGGTGACAAAGTTGTTGAGTTTAAGAAAACGGACTTTGCATTGATAACCGGGCTGAAATTTGGGAAGGAAACCAAGTTTGAGGGTATTGACATGGATGAGCCGAATGACATTAGTTTGAGGTTTTTTAGAGGGAAAATGACCGTAACACGTTTGGATGTGGAGCATGTGTTCAAGAATATACGTGCGATTGGATGTAGGCAACCTATGGATGTAGTTAAACTGGCTCTGCTTTACCTTCTGTGCTGCCATGTCGTGGGGAACCAGGGGAGGACAAAGATCCTTGCACTATATATGCATCTGGTTAATGACGTGAAGCGGTTTAATGACTTTGAATGGGGTGAGCACCTGTGGACGGACCTGGTGGAGAGCATGGGCAGGTGTTCTTCGATCCTCAACACTGGGGGTAATGGTCGTTTTACTTTCCCCGGTTTTTTATTCCCCCTACAAATTTGGCCATTTGAAACGTTCCCTCGTTTGATGGAGAATGGAATTTGTGCAATTGGGAAGGGCACTGGATCCTTATGGCCGAGAGCATTGCGGTGGGAGACTGGCGTGTGGCCTAAACATGATGTGTTGGAGAATTCTATTTTTGGAAAACCAGGGGTAATGTGACTAAACAAAAGTTGTTTTTTAAAATTACAGTCATTAATTTTTGTTACATATATCTGACTTACTTTTATTGTATATAGGAAAGTGTCATCTGGAAGGAGATGGTTGCAAAGCCCATGGAGCGTGTCATGGGAAACATTGAAACATTGCTAAGTGTTGGAGGTGCAGGTAATCGTAGCAGTTCAAATGCATTTGGAGAAGAGGTTAATGAAGGGTATGGAGCTGGCCGAAGGTCTTTAAAGGGTAAGTTGCATTAGGGGCCTGTGACTGCATGTTCTGATGGCGTCCAGAACGAAGACGGAGTGGGGGTGAAAAGTCCTGTGGTTAAAAAAAAGGCAAGGGTGAAGAGAACAGAGCCAAGAACAGAAAATGCAGATATGCGTACCCGAAAAGAGAGACCAAGTGTAGTGGAGGAGGTAATTGGAGCGAGTGGAGGTGACTACGAACCTTCATTGCGTGATGTCCTGACTGCAATAGTGCACATGGAGAAGAGACATTCTAAACTGCATGTGGAAGTTACTAAACTGAGAATAGCACTGAATGCGCAAAGCCGACTTTTGAAGAGGGTATTATTAGGAACAAAAATGGCTAAGCGGCAACTGAAAAAGAAAGGCGATAAAAGAGAAGAGAATGGACTGCCGAGCTTTGATTTGGGTATAGAGAGCCAAGGGGGGAGAGATGAGCCAGGCAATGATTAGGAAGATATGATTTACGAGGAGGACATTATTAAGGATGCTGATTTAGGAACCCAACTTGGTGTTTCTGATAATGAAGTTGAAGATCCTTTGAATGACGTCAGCACACAAGAGGTTGAAGGGCGATGGAGGCAGGCAGTTGAGGGTTTGGGACTGAATTTGGATTCAGGAAAGGGTGCAGGGAGTAGTAAGTCAATAAAAGTGTCAAAAGAAACGGCAACAGAATGTGTGCAGATTGATGAAAGGGTAGTGGATGAGGGGCTGATGTTGTTGATCGAATAGATGTTGCGGAACTTGTAGGGGCATCAACAAGTAATGGCGTATGTGCTGGAGTACCTGAGACTGTGAATGGAACTGTAAGTAAACATTAAAATCATTACTTGTGGTTTCCCTAACTGATGTATATTAGGATTTAATTATTATTTTTTTGGAAAAAACTTGCCTTTGAAGGTAACTGGAGCAGTGGTTGGTGGGTTCTGTGACAGGTTTGAGACTGCGTCTCAAATTGTTGAGGTGTGTGTTGTCCAAAATGTACATTTTAACGTTGAGATATGTAAATGTCTGATTTTACACTCTTTGTTATTTGTGTAGGATCTGCAGGATTGTCCACCGTCTCAACTTTTTTTTAGTTTAGAGGGGAATTTGGTTGGGGGTGTTGAAGATACAAAAGTTCAGGTGGTTAATGTCTGATGTTCAATTTGATCATGTTTTTTTTTGGTTTTTGTTAGTCATTAGGTGATGTTATGTTTGCATGTCTTGAATTCGTTGAGTGTGTTGAATTTTATGCACAAGAGGTGACGCCGGAGAAAATTTTCAGTGAGAATGTAAGGCCGGTTGATGAAGAGATTGTGGACGATGGTGCTGATGAGGAAATGCTCAATGAGGAGCCATGCACACAAATAGTGGTACGTGCATTTTGTTTTTACCTATTATTTTGAGTGGTTTGTACTGTAAATATGACTAGTACAGATTTTATGTTTTAAAGTAGGGTTTTTTTGTTATATGAGTAGAAGTAAGATAATGACTTGGGAATGGAGAGATTTAAGGTGATGGTGGTCATTTCATTGTGTATCTAGTAGTAGTGAATTTTGTTACAGAACAGTGTTGCGATATTTGAAAAGTATTTACTTCATTGTTTTAAAGTCATTATTTTGTTGGAGGCTTTAGTTAATGACTTTGTATGTCAACGGGTATGTACATACATGGCTGACCAGTTTGTGTGTCAACGGGTATGTGACTGGTCAGCCATGTGGTGTGTTTGAATGTGTACTCTGCGAATTGTATTATAGAGGTGATGAAATCAATATGTGTTTGACAAACGTTTTTGGGTGTGACTCTAACACAGGTGTATGAAGAACCGATAAGGGTTGAGATACCAAGAGAAATAAAAGATCGTCAGAAAAGACCATTGAAATGTCCACAGCGGTTCAGTCCTGACCAGTTGATAGTTAGGCGTAAAAGGAAAAAGGTGAGAACAGTGATGGAGCATGTTATAGACTTCGGTGGAGATGGAGATGATTTCATGGGGCCATTCACATTAGACCCCGCTGAGATGCCAGGTGAGGACGATTTGAGGGATGTGGATGAGTTCATGCACAAAGGTCTGTTAAAGAAGCATAAGAAGGAGCCCGGGCGTAAGTACTGTGTGAATGAAGATGTTCTTGCACCAAGTGAGTTTAAGACTCACTACGATGATAAGGCCACCTTAACGAAAAGCTGGTACTACGAAATCTATTTCCCTTGGGGGTGGCTGTCAGATACGGTAATGTTGATTCAGTAAATTATATACGAAACTCTGTGTGGTGTGTTGAATGCATATGATAATGTAATCAATTTTAATATGCAGCATCTTGATGTCATTTTCTACTACCTAAGGATGAAAGGTGTGGAGTTCGGGTTAGTGCAGAGGTACACAACGACAGACACACCATTCCTTGAATTAATGAAGACTTTGTGCGATAGATATTTGAAGAAAGAACTGACAATTGAGCAAGCTACACGGAATAAGTCAATAAGGAGCACAATCGTTGGAGGTAGGATGGAGTACGGCCGTCCATGGCAGGGTGTGGATTTCGTGTACATGCCACTCAATACAGGGAGCCATTGTACATTGCTGGTCCTGGACATTACGCGGAAGGTTATCAGAACATATGACTCAAGCCTGCGAAGAAACGATTCGAAACGGAAACTGCAGCAATTCATGCCAAGCCTCCAAATGTTTCTGCCAAAGATGATGGATAAGCTGGGAGTGTATGAAGGACAGGAAGAAGGTCTGATAGGTGATGGTGTCCTTGCGATTGAGGGTGGGTCATGCTGCCCTCAGCAAAATGATGGGTATGTGACGGGCATTAATGCACGAAGGTAAGTACTGATTTAGTTAATGTGGTTATGTGAACCTAACGTCTTCTGTTCTGGCATGACTCAGGTCTAGTTGTGGGATGTTTGTAGTGAAGATGACCGAATTTCTCATGATGGGGCGTGATGTGCGCGATATGGGTGATGATGAGATTGCCGCATACCGGAAGAAGATGACAACAGAGCTGTTGGCCTACTCCGGGAAGTAGGACTCATGGACTGCGTTTGGAATGAGACAGACATGCACTCTTTTAATGTTTTTTTGCAGCAATGTTTAGGTTTAATGAATTCTATGCACTATTTTTTTGAGACAGTAGCGAGGGCTGTTATTTTGATACAATTAGTTACACTGGAAGAATGATGTTTATTGGTTTGAGTTTTTTTATATTGGGCAGTTTGTGTACTAAATGGAACTTAATGTGTTAGGTTATTTTTGTAGTACAATTCTAAGATAAGATAATGAATCTGAAAAGTTAAGGAGATAAGGTGGTTTTCTAGTGGTATATGTTTGGATCTGGTTTGTTTAGGATGCTACGCAGGGTGCTAAACATGGTGTATTTTTTTTGCACTTGTGACCTGTTTAGTCATTATTGTGTGTGAAATGATTATGGTGGTGGGGAATGAATTGTTTCCCAATGACAAATTCAGTATCAGAAAGAAATAAAATAAGACAAACTAAATGAACCAAAAAATGAATCCCTGAACATGTAAAAAACAAAATGAAGCAGAAATGGGACAAAACTAATGGACATGCTGGACCAAGGTTCCATGGAATGTTGTGCTTCCCATACGTCTTCCTACGGGAGTCAAACGCGATTTGAGGAAATGGGATTTGCACAAGTCTTTCTATTATGTCCTGATGATTTGCATCGTGAGCAGGTTTGCCGCTTCGCATGTTCACCTTTCGACGGGATCCTTCGCTTTTTTGGTCTCCCTACAGGTCGTTTGGAGCACGATGGTGGTCTGCAAATAGTTTCAACAACCTCATCAGGTACAACCCACGAATCTTTGGAAGGGATTGGGTGTATGATTCCACTATACGTAGCTCTCCAGGAAGCAGCGGTGTAGAATGATGAGATGTAGTCGTAGCACGACAGTCCATGTTGACAACGAGTAGCAGCGACTGCATGTACACATACAAAATGGTCTAATTGGAATTCGCAGCACGTACATGTATGACTCTGAAAATTCACAACAAACGACCGGCAGTTCTTGTCAAAGACAAGGAACTCAAATGCACAAGCTGGTCTAACCTGCAAAAATTTAATGACATGAGTTTAGGTTCTTAATGACTGCGAAAGTAGTGTATGTGTTACATTAAACAAAGCCGGATGGAGGGGAATTTAGACAATGGGTTGTATTTATAATGACTTGTATAATAGCACGTGTTGACCAGATTTTTCAGAATTTGTATAATGACTTGGGTTTTGCAAAATAGTCATTACGTGTAATGACACGTGATGACCACATTTTAAGGGATTACGTGTGATGTCGTTATTGTGATTATAGTGAATAATATAATGACCACATATTAATGTAAGGCAATGATGTTAAAAAGTAAACTTTGCATCAATTAGGACTAAACATAATGACTTTCTCAAGGTAGAGCCCAAATTTATTTATTCCCTAAAAAAGGACTTGATAATGACCTAGTCGGAGGAATAATGTCCAGTAATGATGGACATTTACTTGAATAATGAGTACTTGATAAAGACCAAAACTTTTACATTGGGAAATAAAAACATATGGTCCTATATTGAGAAAGTCATTATGTTTTAGTCCTATTTAGGTGAATTGCTCAAATTTTTTAGAATGGGGGTGATGATTCTTATTAATCATTAAAAATAATGACCAAGAATGTAGGTGCGTGTGAAATTTATTTCAAAATTACTTACTTCCATAACACTTGAAGCCGCATGTAGTTCCTTAAGTTCCGCCTCGTAGAACTTTGTCAGTATAGAGGAGGTTGCGTTGGCTAATTCTCTACGCTTGTGGAACCAAACTTGCATCCTGCCCACTAGAAAGTCAACCAGTTGTGTAATCGGATATTCACGTGGGACAGCATCAACATTGTTCATAGACTCGGCTAGGTTGGAAGTCATTATGGAATAACGGTTATTCGAGCAAGATCTTGCCCACTTATCTTTGCCTATTTCTTTGAGGTATCCAATGATCCTGGGGTCATCACTGCCGAGATAATTCAAAAATCGCTCACATTCAACTTCAGAAGCTGCCCTTGCGGCAGCATAAAATTTCCAGGATAAAGACTTCTCGGAGCCATTAAAATTGGACTTGATATTCCCAAGAATGTGGAATATGCAATGGCCATGACCCGCTTTTGGAAAAACCGATTTCACAGCCTTAATAATGCCTTCATGCCTGTCCGAGACTATATACTCCATTGGACGGTGTTTGAGGGCTTGCTTTACTCTTGAGAGAAACCAGTGCCAATTCGCATCGTTTTCTGCGTCGCATATGCCAAATGCTAGTGGAAAAATCTGATTATTCCCATCACATGCAACTGCTGTTAAAAGTGTCCCCTTATAATATGATTTCATAAAGGACCCATCAATAATTAGGACAGGGACACAATGGGGCCAACCTTCTCTCCAAGCTGCGAGTGAGATAAAAAGATACTTGAACAAGTGATCTGATGTGTGTTGTCTTGTCGAACATCAATAGGGCATTGGTGTTCCCTATTGTACCTGTAGGATATTAAAGACCAAATTAAACCAGGGTTGGTAAGAAGTATGGTTTGTAGACATTATTCTTAATATGCATCTAACAGTGTAGACATTATGCAGTGTGGACATTGTGGAAGAGAAAGATAATGTAATGTCCATGTATCAGACATTAACTGACTGAGATAACATTAGAAAATGAACTGACAAAGCATATAATGTCCATGCGAGTAGATAATACTGTGCATAGTGAAAAAGGACACTTATAGTTATACGTTAATCGTAAATGATGGGGGGTGTTCGGTTTGATTACAAGTAATGCACTATGGTGTGATATATAGATTGGCTATTGAATGACCTAAAAGTCCTGTTTTTTAGACTTTACGCAAATCATTAATATAATGACCAGTATAGTAGGAGTAAAACCCATTGGTTAAAGACCATAAATACACCCATTAGACAGTAAATATATGGGAAATAAAGACCTAGAAGATGGCATGGACACTAACACCTCAGGTATGTTGGAAATAAAGAACAGTAGCATGACATTGGTGAAAGACGTAGTAAAATGGCATGGACATTAACACCCCAAAAACCTGGGAATAGGACAGTTTTCCGCTAAATGTTAAAAACAGTAGTACGCACCTACGAATCTGGAACATCTCAACGCCGGGTAAACGCACAGCCCGAACAGCCCATTGGCAACGAGGGAAGTCAACACACACAACATGCAGCTCAGATTTTTTGGAAGTTCTGGTCCGGTACTAGAAACAGTCGGAAATTGCAAGCATCTTCAAATGATAATCGAGGTCCATTTTGCTAGCGTATATGGCACCAACGACAATCCTAGTTGGATCAAACCGAGATGTTACGTGCATCTCCTTTAATGAGTCAATATCTTGCTGGGACATCACATAACCAGACGGATTGGAGTCAATAGAATTCCAGGAAACCAACTCTCTGTTATGGTCATTATGCGTAGAAATCTCATCTACATTATAGGTGACAAATAATGACTCCTTAGACAAATCACACCGTGATGAGATGTTGTCTCCGCAGATAGTGGTTTCGTTTCCTAGAACATCACGCATTGAGCCATCTGAATCAGTTTCTTCCTGAGTAGTTGAGTCTACCTCACAATCATAACCTGGTAATGTCTGCAGACCTTCGGTGGGGACTGATTCTCCATTAGACACGCCCATTTCTGTGAAATGATATACTTCCACGCACAAAGGAAATTCGCGTAAAGAGGGATAGGTGCTCTTCAAACAAAGGTAGGCGAGAAGGCTCACATCATCTTCAATGACGACACGCCTTGAGGATGAATTAGACATATACGAGATATTGAAAACAGAATTTTCATAAGAAGACGGAACCGTAGTACGAACCAGTTCCAGAAAGTCTTCATAATGGGTCTGAATCGGAATGTCAATCTCATAAGCATATGCGTAAGAAAAAACACCTTTACCATCCCATTCGCCATCAAATTGCAGGAGAAGGTGGATGTTCGGAGGTGTGGATGAACCCGCTGCAAATTTTGATACATAAACCAGTAGTGAAGAAAACATTGTGAGAGAGGAGGCGAGAGGAAGAGACTAACGGAACAAACCAGAGGCGGCAGAGACATGAGTGAAGGAAGGAACCGTAACACTGGTGTGCGAGGAAATAGGGTAACGGTTGCTAAAGTGATAAGGATGTGGAGTTAATTGCTCACCATTATCATTTAATAAATTTAATAAAAAGGGTGATGGGGAAACGTGGGTAAGGGGAATTTTAGGGTGTGTGTTCTAAATTTACTCCTAAAAAAAGAAAAAAAAGACACAAGTCCTATATAGGGAAAACACATATGTTTAGGTCCTATATGGAACAAATTTTACTTCTTTTTTTGGCCAAGATAAATGTGTATATATATATATATAATCGAAAGATCCCTCTCCTAATCTCTTGTCAAAGACCAAATCACCCTGCGAGTACCAAACACAATAAAACCTCATCAACCTAGGTAAATATATGCATGATTCTTGAGCCATACAACTAAAAGAAAAATATAATTTTATAAAACAATGAAAATGAGGTTAAAAAAACACTAATGGTATGCTCTAAAAATTGTTGAATATCCAAGCACTCTGCGTTTGATATTGCATCTCAACAAGGTTTGTTATTTTTAATGGATCTATAATAATGATAACGTACTCTTAAGTTTCTTAAGTAATGGTTAGTTTTGATGAACGTCTCAACTAATTCTTTAGTCAATAATATGAGAAATCATCATGTATAATAGGACAATATATAGGTAATTTTCAATTATATTTTTTTTAAAATCACAAAACAAAAATAAAAATTTACTTCATGAATCAAGGCTATTTAGGTGGCACACAAATTTTATTTATGAAAACAACCTTTTGAAATTAAGTCATGTTATTACTTGCATCCACCCTTCTCCTTGTTTTCTCGCTATAAATTGATTTTGAATAAATTTTATTCTAGATAATCAATTACTCCATATATGAGTTTGGGAATAAAAACAACAAAAAATAAAAAAGAAAAGGTAAAATAAAATTTAAATATAAAAATACCTTGAGTCTTCTTCTTTAGGCTTGGTATTTACTGTCGTACTTCCACAGTAGCGCCACTTCCAAAGTAGAGGACCTATGATTGAAGGGGTAAATTTCACAAATGGTACCTGAACTTTAGCTGGAATTTCGAAGTGGTACCTGAACTTCAAATTCTTTCACAAAAATCCCTGAACTTACACAATCCTTTCACTAATGAGCCATTAGCCCGTTTCTAGGTTAACTTCCGGTCATTAGGGCCAAATTCGAATTTTATATATTTTAAAATTTTCAATTTGACCCCATTTCTTCTTTTCTTTTCTTCCACGCCTCGTCGCCGCCGCCCGCCGGTCAAAGTCGCTGGAAAATGAACTTTTTCCGATTCCAGCGGGACCAATGTCATTCTCTTCGTCTTGAGACGAGGATCAATAATATCCAAACCATTTTGTCTAATTTGGCCTCTAACTTCTCGAATCTGAATTTTTCTACTCGAAAAAACCCTAAAATTCGAAATTGGATCCAAAATTGAGGGTTTTGCAAATCTTCATCAAATCTTGCAATTGAAGGGTCCTTGGAGGTCGCCCGGATGCCACGACCGCATTGGAGTTGGTGTCCGCCGTCAATTTCGCCGGAGTTGGCCGGAAAACGCTCCGACCCGCCGGCGGTTTCCGGCGGGTCGGGGCGTTTTCCGGCGAAATTGACGGCGGGCACCAACTTCAATGCGGTCGTGGCATCCGGGCGACCTCCAAGGACCCCTCAATTTCAAGATTTGATGAAGATTTGCAAAACCCCCAATTTTGGACCCAATTTCGAATTCTAGGGTTTTTTCGAGTAGAAAAATTCAGATTCGAGAAGTCAGAGGCCAAATTAGACAAAATGGTTTGGATATTATTGATCCTCATCTCAAGACGAAGAGAATGACATTGGTCCCGCCAGAATCGGAAAAAGTTCATTTTCCGGCGACTTTGACCGGCGGCGGGGCGTGGAAGAAAAGAAAAGAAGAAATGGGGTCAAATTGAAAATTTTAAAATATATAAAATTCGAATTTGGCCCTACTGACCGGAAGTTAACCTAGAAACGGGCTAATGGCTCATTAGAGAAAGGATTGTGTAAGTTCAGGGATTTTTGTGAAAGAATTTGAAGTTCAGGTACCACTTCGAAATTCCAGCTAAAGTTCAGGTACCATTTGTGAAATTTACCCATGATTGAAGTTATGCCATGAGTTAAATACAAAGCGAAAATGAAATTCAATATAAACAAAAATTTTACCTTCTAAGACCTCCTTTTTGTTCCTCTGTCCTCTACTCACTCAAGTTACAGACCAACGAATTACAAAGCTGGGTGAAAGATAAGAAACCCTAGCTATATAACAATTTTTCTTGCGAAAGGATATACGGGAAAACTGAAGTGGATTTCTAGACCTAGCTGGGTAGCTTGTTCTTGTTTTCATTAGGGACAGACCCACAATCAAAAGTAGACTCATAGACCTTGCACTTGTTAATCAAAATGAATAGTATATATATATATATATATATATATATATATATATATATATATATATATATATATATATATATATATATATATATATATATATATATATATATATATATATATATATATATATATATCTGTGTGTACATACATACATACATACATATATACACACACACACACATACACACACACATACACACACACACACACACATATATATATAGTTTGGTTCCGGTGAGAAAGAAATCTAATGAAAGAAATAGGAATAACTTACAACCGTTAGATTTGGTTCTTTCTCTAGTCTATTTTCGTTCCAGTGCTTGGGCATTTTAGGACTTTTACATTTTAATCTCTCTTTCCTTATACATATGATATTTTCCCCTCAAAACCTGCATCTGATCTCCGTAACTTTTGATTTCCGTTTTGCCAGTTGCTAGTATGGAACCTCTGTGGTTATCGTGAACCTCTGTGGAACCTCCAGATGATCATCTTGCCGTTGTCCAAACTAGTAAATCTCTAATGGAAAGTGCAGATATGTGCAGGTATGTTCATGGGGGAGGGAGTTCGATTCATGAAAACATCCGACTATTGTTTCATTAAAATGGGTAATATTTTCTGCATTGGATTCCTCAATTTCACCTTAGAGAATGGCCGAGTTTATGATTTTAGGTATGAAGCTCCAAGGATGCCCGCAAGTTGTTCGACATATTTCCATAAAGAAATATACGAATGGAACTAGAGCTTTGGGTTGGATAACATCACGGTACTCCAAGGGTCCCAAGTAACCCCCTACCCCGCCCCCCTCCCTCGCGGTCTCTTCCAGTTTGAATATGGATGGTTTAATCTGGGACACTCTCCATTTCATCCTCAGCATGCACACACACTCCAAGGCAGAAGTGAAGGCATGAAGGCCTAAATTTTTCACAAGTTGTAGATCCCAAAAGGCCAAAACTGTAATAAGTTCTCCCCTCATTTGATCATTGTCCTATGCTCGATCTTGATCAGTATGCAGTGTGCTCAACATTAAGTGCAATACGTATCGTAAATGAAGCATACACACATCACAAGTTTTTAGGATGAGAAATTTAAATAGAATTTCTGTTCAATATAATCAAACTTTTTACACTAAGTATGCATCAAAAAATTTATTTTTTATTTGTTATATAATCTTTAGTTCAAGAAGAAATATGTTCAGATACATGTTAGGTGTTGACAGTTATATGGTTTTAGAGTGATGCATCCCAACTTGTTAGTAGTTCATGCAGGTTGTATAGTACTTCATCCCAACTGGTTGTTGCATACATATTTTAAAAACTACTTTGTAGGTAGGTGATGCAAACATTTTTAGTTTAGGTGATGCAACTTGTTAGTAATGCATGCAGGTTGTTTGATTGCTGTTGTATGGCTTCAATTGATATGGTCTTGTTGATGTTGCTTGTTGCAATTGGTCTCTATAGTGCACATGTGCTACCTTTAGTTAGATGGTGTTTAGGATTACATGGTTTACCTTTTGCATCATAAAAAATCTAAGATTTAGCTTTTGCTATGAAGGATTGGCTAATTCTTGTTTGTCAAGAACAAATAAACAAACACTACGCAAAATAACAACAGCTGGAACTTGTTGGCCTTGATAATGTTACTAGAGAATTTGTTGTTCATTGAGGGTGTATATTGTTGCTTTTATTTTATTTCTTTTTTACATCTTGTTGTTTTAATCTATTATACTACTAGACATTGTATATCTTGACAATGTTGATGGATAATTTGGTGTTCACTGGACTGTAAATTGCTGCTTTTGTTTTTCTTTTTCTTATTTCTTTTTGTTTATTTTTTCCTATTATAGTGCATTATTAGAATCAAGTTAATGCATTTACATGTAAAAGCAATACATTATCAGGATTAAGTTAAATGATAATACATTCTGTTAGTGTACATTCTCTAAATCAAAGTTAATGCATCTAGCGGTGAAATTCTTATGACATAGATATGATGCATGTATGTAAGTAATGTACACGGTAAATTTTCTGCAAATAAGTAATGATGCATTTGTATACTGTACAGAGTGAGAGATGAACTCTTTGAAAAACAAATCGTTGCCTATTAGCTCAAATGGTAAAGCGGTATGTAGTACATATGTGGGTTCGAATCCCACATAGGTAAAAAAATCAAATTTGTATTATACTTGTGAATACAACTTACTAGTAATAACCCCGTGCTTCGCACGGGCTCTGATATTTTCTAAATTTTGACATCTAAATTAAAAAATAAAAATAATATTTATTTTAAGTTCTCTAATGATATATGATGTGTTTGATAAATATTTTTTAGTATATAATATCTCTTTTTGAGAGAAAATTTTTAATTTTATTATTGATGTACATGTACTAAAATATATATAAAAAATATACAAAATAAATGATGGATTGTTTTTAAAAATAAAATAAATGCTGGATTATTTATATAAATAATATGTTATGAAGTTAATAAAGATGCACATGTGATAAGATTTATATATGATAGCTTTTTTTGAGATGATGGAATTATAAGCAATATTGTTTTTTATGAATAAATTTTATATAATTTTTTTAAATTATAAAATAGTCACGCAT